CCTGGCTGTGTCAATACATTTTTAACCCTATTATTGTCAACCTAGTTTCGTCAAAAAATTTTAACCCTTTTATTGTCCATCTGGTTTTCTCAATAAATATTAACCCTTTTATTTTCAACCTAGTTTTCTCAATAGATTGTAACCCTTTTATGTCCACCCTTGAAGTTTCATGCTACTGTTGTTTTAATATCAGCCATTTGTGTTTGTCATACCATCGCAGCTGTCGTGTTGTTATTTATGACGTTTTGTCAAGTTATTGTAAGATTATTCTCGACCCCTATCTGCGTTTTATTGTGCTACCGTCCTCTGATTGGTCTGTGCTAGTCACGTGAATGTCATCTATATTGTGATACCATCCTGTTTTAATGCAGTTGTGACACCCGTTCCAGTTAATATACTTCGGTGTTGTTGTTTTTTTACCTTTTAAGTCAACCAGGATGCAAGGGGCTATGTGGCATGTTTCTAATCCTTGTATGATGGCAGTGGCTTCTGATGTTTCTGTGTACGGCAGCTAAGGTTTCCTTAGCTAGACAACAGACCAATTGTCGAGCTGGGGAATATTTGCTGCTGTACTGCATCCTGCTTCGGTTCAATGGGGGAGACACGGTGTATTCCGCTGACTTCACACAATGCGTGTTTTTTTATTTTTTTATTTTAGGACTTAATCTCGTGCCAGAGTCAAGCAGAGTTTCTTTCAGGCATCATTACGCAGCACTGACCCCCCCCCCCCCCCACTGAGAACGTCCACCGCCTCCCTTCCCAACGAAATAGCAATAATTAATAAAGAAAATATATACTTCAATCAGTGCTCCCCGCCTCTCTTAGTTTCAAGAGCCACCGGTGGATAAAAATGTCTGAAAGAAACCTTGACTTTAAACCCCGATACAGATGGTGCCGGCCCACCCGTTGCGGTTTTTAATTTTCCGATCATAAGCGGGTTTGTTGTTTTTCAATACAAGATATTGAACGATAAATATTGTCCCTCTTCATATTGCCTTCAGCCGATTAGTGAAGTCTCAGCAACTTTCCTCTTGTAAATACAAAGTGCATCTGTATTACCAGAGTTTCTTTCAAGTGTGTGTGTGGGGGGGGGGGGGGGGTATTCTTCCCCCCCCCCTTCCCCCCGAAGGAAATAGTATTTATAGCATTTGTGTGTGTTGGGGAACAAAAGTCTGTACCCACAATGAGTGAACATTGTGGTACACGTCGCTGTTTCTTTCAAACATTTTTCTATAAGTGCAAGAAGGCGTACTTAAATTCACGTGAAGGTGGGGGGGGGGGGGAGGAGGGGTTAAAGTATAAATTTTCCATATAAATAAATTATATATTTTAGTCGGGGTGGTTGCGATACTCGGAGGAGTCGTCCACCCCCCCCCCCTCCACCTTCCCCCCCCCCCCCCCGCACACACACACACACACACACACACAAATGCCTGGAAGAAACTCGAGTAAACGTTACCACATTTAAAAATAACAAGAAGACAGTTACAGTCGACATAAATAACCTGCATTAGTAATAACTGAGATAAGGCTAAACTTCAACATCGTGACGTTCATTTTTTTTTCCATGCCAATAAAAGCCACGGTGCTGGTGCCGTGTGAACTTCCTGCTTTGGGACTGATTCATCTAGAGCAGACTTCAGTAGGTTTTGGGTCGTATAACTTATATGGCTGACACTTTGGGGACTGGACCAGTCATAGGACCTTCATACTACACCCGGACCTTCACACTACACCCGGACCTTCACACTACACCCCGTCATAGGACCTTCACACTACACCCGGACCTTCACACTACACCCCGTCATAGGACCTTCACACTACACCCGGACCTTCACACTACACCCCGTCATAGGACCTTCACACTACACCCGGACCTTCACCCTACACCCCGTCATAGGACCTTCACACTACACCCGGACCTTCACACTACACCCCGTCATAGGACCTTCACACTACACCCCGTCATAGGACCTTCACACTCCACCCCGTCATAGGACCTTCACACACCACCCCGTCATAGGACCTTCACACTCCACCCCGTCATAGGACCTTCACACTACACCCCGTCATAGGACCTTCACGCTACACCCGGACCTTCACACTACACCCGGACCTTCACACTACACCCGGACCTTCACACTACACCCCGTCATATGACCTTCACACTACATCCCGTCATAGGACCTTCACACTACACCCCCGTTATAGGACCTTCACACTACATCCCCGTCATAGGACCTTCACACTACACCCCGTCATAGGACCTTCACACTACACCCCGTCATAGGACCTTCACACTACTCCCCGTCATAGGACCTTCACACTACACCCGGACCTTCACACTACACTTGGACCTTCACACTACACCCCGTCATAGGACCTTCACACTACACCCGGACCTTCACACTACACCCCGACATAGGACCTTCACACTACACCCCGTCATAGGACCTTCACACTACACCCGGACCTTCACACTACACCCCCGTCATAGGACCTTCACACTACACCCCGTCATAGGACCTTCACACTACACCCGGACCTTCACACTACACCCCCGTCATGTGAACTTCAAACTACAATCTGGCATATGACCTTCACACTACACCCCGTCATAGGACCTTCACACTACACCCTATCAAAGGACCTTCACTCCCCACTCTGTCCCTAGAACCAGGCAGTAGTTAAATGTATTTGTTATCTCCTTGCTAGTATAACGGTCTCCCACGTCCATTCATTGACTTGTCCCATCACCCCCCCCCCCCCCCTCCCCCCCCCCCTCCCCTCATGCACTTCAAAACCAATATCTGCACAGTTTACTCCGCCACTTACGAGTCAGTTATCTGAATCTAGACTCTTGAGAGCTCTGTGTTTCTCAGAAAACATTTCAACACGCCCGCACTAACACAAATTATGTTAACAATTGCGACCTTTTTTTCTCTTTCGTGTAGTAAAAGAAACCAATCAGTCAAGATCGATATTTTCTTAATCCTTTAATCCTTCTATAATTCGGTGCCATTGTATTATTTGACTGCAATTCCTGATCCTTTCAAGCACCCCCTACTGTATCAAATAATGAAATATACTTGTTTGAAATGCCCAGTATCTATAGTTTGTTGTTTTGACACTATAAAGCTTAGACATTTACTGCCGTCTATAAAAGATTGCTTTATGACCTGTCCACATGCCTGCTGTGGGTTCATTGTGGTATTCAACTGCACTCAGGCAGCCTGATTTGTAGATAGAAGCAGGAAGTAACCATATATAAGATGTATATATATACATATATATATATAAGCATACATGTAAAGATAGGCTAGGTAGAACGTTTTTATCGTTTAAAGTCCTTAATGTAACTAACATATATGTGAGTCTATCTTTATGTCCTTAACCTTAGAGGGATGTATATTATCTGCCCCTATGTATGTCTATGGTGAAACAATGCCATTCATGTGCTAATGATATCTCAGGCGTGTGTTCATGACTGTTGTGTGAGTGTGAGGTTATGTGTGTACCTGTTGTATACCTGTATGATGTTATTTGTGTACCTGTTGTATACCTGTGTGAGGTTGTTTGTATACCTGTTGTATACCTGTGTGAGGTTGTTTGTATATGTTGTATACCTGTGTGAGGTTGTTTGTATACCTGTTGTATACCTGTGTGAGGTTGTTTGTATACCTGTTGTATACCTGTATGATGTTATTTGTATACCTGTTGTATGCCTGTGTGAGGTTATTTGTGTACCTGTTGTATACCTGTGTGAGGTTATGTGTGTACCTGTTGTATACCTGTGTGAGGTTGTTTGTATACCTGTTGTATACCTGTATGATGTTATTTGTGTACCTGTTGTATACCTGTGTGAGGTTATTTGTGTACCTGTTGTATACCTGTGTGAGGTTGTTTGGATACCTGTTGTATACCTGTGTGAGGTTGTTTGGATACCTGTTGTATACCTGTGTGAGGTTGTTTGTATATGTTGTATACCTGTGTGAGGTTGTTTGTATACCTGTTGTATACCTGTATGATGTTATTTGTGTACCTGTTGTATACCTGTGTGAGGTTATTTGTATACCTGTTGTATCCCGCATGATACACAAGCCGTTGTCTCCCCGCCCCATGTAAGGCCATTATGCACAATGTCACGCTTGACTTGCCTCCTGTCTGACTTACCTGTATCTGTTACCTGCATGTGTCCAACTGTTGTGTCTAACCTGCCGTGTTGTAACCATGACGACGTGTTAAAAAAAACGTGGTCTTACTGTAATCAACGAAAGCGAGGCTTTGTATCACGTGCCCTAAATAATGGTATCAATCATCTAAGACTGAAAGAAATTGAATCGAACTGTTCAATCTATTATGATCTAAAAATCAATTATTAGTTTTTGTTGCTTAGTATTGAGGTTGGAGGTTTTAGGCCTATCTGATGTGTGGGTTTTATTTATAATTTAGTACAACTTTTCTTGTACTTGGATAATGTGAATTTGTAGAACGTTTTTGCAGCTAGATTCACTTACTTTAAATACTTTGTATCCCTACCCCGTATATTCGCCTATCGTTACCTCGTATTTCTTTCAGCAATTTTCGCTTGCCTTAATTACCTGATATTTGTTAATTGACTTACCTTAATTACCTAGTATCTCTTAAAGGTATAGTCGCTTACCTTTATTACCTGGTATCTCTTACAGTTATATTTGTTTACCTTGATTACCGGGTATTTGTTACATGTATATTTGCTTACCTTTATTGCCTGGTATCTCTTACAGGTATATTTGCTTACCTTGATTACCTGGTATTTGTTACATGTATATTTGCTTACCTTGATTACCTGGTATTTGTTACAGGTATATTTGCTTACCTTTATTACCTGGTATCTCTTACAGGTATATTTACTTACCTTGATTACCTGGTATTTGTTACAGGTATATTTGCTTACCTTTATTACCTGGTATCTCTTACAGGTATATTGACTTACCTTGATTACCTGGTATTTGTTACAGGTATATTCGCTTACTTAAACTACCACGTCCCAGTGAAAAGACAAGAGATCCTACAGAAACTGATCAATGGACTCAAGAGATTGGAGTACCGTGGCTACGACTCTGCAGGTCAGTATTAGGCCGCTACATTCGCCTCTTTAATACTCTAGTCAACATTTGTAGCGCTTATTTGCGATGTTTTCAGTCCATTGTATCTGCAGTGACTTGAAGGCATTGATGAATCAGGTTATTGAAAAAACATTTTGACTAGCTTTTGTGTCGTTTTGAATAGGCACCATACACTCATTAGCTAACAAAAAACGGATTATCAGACATAGACACACTTTATGTTAAAAAGGACATATCCCACATTCCCTCCCCCCCCCCCCCCACGCAAGCAAAACCCACAGTTCATCACACAGCAACACGCCATGTGTACAGTGAATGGTGTGTGCATTTGTGTGTGTGATATAGTTGTCCCCGAGTATAGCCTCACCATACAGGGTACTATGTTTATATGTGGTTCACATAGTATCTTGCTGTCTTGTGGGGAAAGAACGACATTTTTTAGAGCAAACTACTGTAGTCTCCAATTGAGTGGTATATTTAATGTGATCTTTAAAAAAGCTACGTCGTATCTCCTACTATGATATAGTTAATGTGATATAAAATAAAGCTTTACCAGAGGCCAATTTTCGAGTGCAAATGATTGATTATAGTCTCACAGGGAATGAAATAATTCATGTGGTCTAAAATAAGCTCAACCAGAATCAAATTTTCTAGTACAACTGGTGGTATTCATAAGTCGAGTGCTAAGATCTAAACTAAGTTTGACCAGAGGTGGAGCAGTGGGGTGGTGCCCTAAACCCCGCGAGCATGTAAAGTCACGTGGTACGTCTGTTGCAGGAATCGCCTTCGAAGGTTCAGCAGCAGAGAGCGGCTGTACGTGTGAAATAAAGATCATCAAGCAGACGGGCAAAGTGGCGGCACTGGAGAAACTTGTGGAAGGTAAATACCCCGGGGCTTAACACCAGACTTCATCAGACTTTTTTTTTAATAGTTTGATTAAATAAAATAAATTGGAATCCTTTAGGTTTAGTCTTGCGGTTGTTAATTATTTTAGATAAATTTTTATTAGCTGGTATTGGGTATTTGTTGTAGCTCTCAGTTGAAAGCTGTTGTGGAAATTTTTATTTACTAATCCGGTCGATTATGAAGACGGGATGATCCCTCGCCCCATTTTACTAGCACCAAGTACAGGGTTTCTTTCAGTGCGTCCCCCACCGAAAGTTTCGGCAGTAAGAAACCTAGTCTCAGCAGTATAGAAACCTAGTCTCAGCAGTATAGAAACCTAGTCTCAGCAGTATAGAAACCTTGTCTCAGCAGTAAAAAAAAAACCATGAGATCAGCAGTACAAAATGAGACTGCCCGAGCCGTATAAAACCGTCCGACCTATCTGTACCATCTACCCGAGCCCATCACGCCGCATGTTTGCCTCTAGCCATCGGGACAACGAAATCCGCTGACTTCACACATTGGCGGCTATATTTAGACATCGGAAACTGTAATAAATGGTTGTTTCATGGAAATTAAGATTAAATTTTTTTATAACCGATTAAGGGCTTTACCTTTCTATAATAAGATCATTTGTACATGACAAATAATTGGTAGGAAGTTAAGTGGACGAGGTCAGGGGTCAGATGGTCAGCTGACGTGTTCACCAAACAGTTGGGCTGTATAATCAGGTATAATAAATTAATCCTACCTTTTGTTGGCTGACAGAGCCATTAAGTGTAGGGACAGGTTTTTGTTTAATGTGTTGTGTCAGGCTTGGGTACCTAGATGAGAGCTAGCAGCAAATTATTCGAATACTGCCATACTGGTGATCATAGACGTGTCTCGTATTTTAATTCTTCTTCAAAAAAAAAAAAAAACCCAACAAAAAAACAGATAGCTAGTGTTAATTTGACATTCAATTACACAAGAGGCAAAAAGTTGACACGAGTAGATGTATTTGTATATGTGACTCAATCAACGAGTGCTCCTATTTCCATATCTAAACGAGTGCCAATAACAGCCGTATACAAACGTCCGACCTAGGTCTATCTTTACAATACATTAAAATTGTACACAAACTGTCAAACTTCCTTAAACAGGAACTTATCAACTTGACCCCGCGTGTATAGGTGGGACTATATCAGCTAGTTCCTGCTTTCATTTCTACACAAGTGAAAAATCTTTACACTTTTTTTTTAATCTGACGGCGCTGAATCTAATGATAAATGAACCGTGGCGGCTAATTAATTATGAACCAACGACCCGTACAGGAGAAGCAGACGATTCACTGAACTGATCCTGTTTTGTTGCGCAATCGGGTGGCGCACCGTTTGTGAATGCGCGTGGTTTCCTGCCTACGTGACCTGAAGTCATTCCTAATTTTTGTGTTTGGTGTCCCATTACGTAGAATATTAATTACGGCTAAGTTAATTTAAAATTGGGGTTTTCATTCTTAAGTCGTCTAATAATAGCATAGACAGCGTAATTAAGAGCTTTTGTCTTAAACTCGTAGTAAGCTAACGTCAACTTGGATCAGTTTACTTTGCACCCTGCTGCGGGGGTCTAATCCAGCTTTTATAATTGTGTATTTACAATACAATTGAATGCTAGTATTAGATTTGTATCACTTAATCCACGCAGCATTTTTTTAAAAACACGCCATGGTGTCGACAAGGCTAGATATCGGCTCCCCCAGAACTTGATTTAACTCCATCTAAAAAAAAAAAAGTTAATAAAAAGTCTAGTGACAATTTAAGCGCAATTTCCTTATGTTATCCATAACAATTTTTAATTTTTTGTGACCGAACGAAAGGATATTTTTTTGCGCTAAAAACCTACACGATGCTCAATTTAAATTAAAAATATCATCCCAGGCCTACACGATGCTCAGTTTAAAAATTCTTAATTAATTTTTTGTGACCGAACGAAAGGATATTTTTGAAAACTTTCTTCGGCAATATTGTTCTAAATTATGGCAGGAATCGATTGGTAAATGTTTCAAGTCGCTAAGTGGTCTGGTTGCCGAGATATGGGCCAAAAACTGCATTTTTTCGAGGTTTTTTGGCTTTTCCGGGAAATCCAGGAAGGAATTGAAAGCCTTGAAAGTTTTGTTTTCTTTCACTTTTATTAAAGTACTTATTGAATTGTTATGTAATAATCGTAAGCGATATGACCCCACATTTTGCTTTACTATACTTTAATGGATTGGGGGGGAAAACATGGTTTCTTTATGATAACTTTTGAAAACAACAGCGAAAAAATTTGGTAAAAAAAAACAACTAGTCGGGTTCAGGAGAGGATACGTTAGATAGATCAGGGATTTTTCCAATCCATTCTGGCTTTTTGATGTCTTAGTTTCTGTCTTACCATGGGAAGTGGGCGAGTGTCAAACGGGAGGGGTTGTCGATTATTGAAAATAATAAAACCCAGCTTAGGCATTTTAAACAAACACAGATGTTGATCGATTTTTGTTTTATCATCTTTTACACAGCTGTCCATTGAGCTCAACACGACCGGTAATGGTGTATGTAGCTACATGTTGCCAACTACACTGGTGGCTACATTAAATTGGTGGCTACGTGTAGCCAACTACACTGGTGGCTACGTGTAGCTAACTACATTATATTGGTGGCTACGTGTAGCTAACTACATTACATTGGTGGCTACGTGTAGCTAACTACATTACATTGGTGGCTACGTGTAGCTAACTACATTACATTGGTGGCTACGTGTAGCCCACTACATTACACTGGTGGCTACGTATAGTCCACTACACTGGTGGCTACGTGTAGCAGGTTGATTCCCTCACAAGTTCCCCCTGTTGATGTCACTTTGTCTCTCCATTACTGTCGTCACAAAACTAACTGGGAGGTTGGGAGCTCAGACTTTTGTGACGTGCTGTACAGTGTAGATGTCGGCAGGCCGGGTTAATGTGTGACGTCATAGTTTTATTTCGTGCTAATAAAAACTATTTCAAATAACTTTTCGTCATATATGTGGGTGTTTTGGCGGGGCGCCTGGATTTTTTAAAAAAATGTTAATAGGGGGTAATGGGTGCATGCAATTCGGTTAAAATATATTGGTGTCATTTATTGAAGACACCTTTCAAATTGAACCATTCCCAGCAACAACTGCCAAAAGAAAGCACTTACATACACCTTATATGTAACACACACATACATTTTATATATGTATGTATATGTGTATATATATATATATATATATATATATATATATATATATATATATATATATATATATATATATATATAATGCGTGTGTGCGTGTTTCTTTGTGTTTAGAATCCAAGGACAAGATAGATTTCGACAAAGAATTCAGCATCCATGTCGGTATTGCTCACACCCGTTGGGCCACTCATGGTGAGCCAAGTCCAACCAACGCTCACCCTCACAGGTCAGACCCTAACAATGGTGAGTACTCCCGTCCTATATGTCTATGGTCACAGTCCCTTCTATACAAGGTGTTAGTTTAGAGCTAGACCTTATATTTTACAAACCATGTTGAGTATTTAATTCTAAGTTATATTTTTTCCCCTGTGAGTATAAATATATTATGTATAAGTATAAATATATATTATGTATAAGTATAAATAGATATTATGTATAAGTATAATTATATATTATGTATAAGTATAATTATATATTATGTATAAGTATAAATATATTATTGTATAATATGCAACTATATTTTGTGTGATTTAGAATTCGCCCTGGTTCACAACGGCATCGTCACAAACTACAAGGATATCAAGTCTTTCCTTGTGAGTTACAGTCCCTTTGTTGTGGGATTAGCTTACACATTTGGTGTCTGGTTGTGTCCGTAGCCATGTTCTGTGTCTGGTTGTGTCAATAGCCTACACGTTTTGTGTGACTGGTTGTATCAATAGCCTATGTTTTCTGTGACTGGTTGCCTACACGTTTTGTGTGCATGTTTGTCAGTAGACTAGTCAAATGCCTGGTTGTGTCTATAGTCTACACGCTTTATATGACTAGTTGTGTCAATAGCCTACATGCTTTGTATGCCTGGTTGTGTGAATAGCCTGCATGTTTAGTGTGCCTGGTTGTGTGAGCACATACAGTAAGTGCCATCTCATCTTAATCTCACTGCTCTCTTACACCCCCCACAGACCCAGAAAGGATTCCTCTTCGAGACAGAGACCGACACAGAAGTCATCGCCAAGCTGCTCAAGCACCTGTATGACAACCACGCGGGCCAGCCAATCAAACTCCGCGAGCTGGTGGAGATGACCGTTGCACAGCTGGTCAGTGATTTCTTTGCTCGCTCTAAATAATAAACACTGCAGCTAAGCTAGTGGGATGGCATGGTTGAATGGTAGAGCATTCCACTGCTAGACCAAAATGTTCGGATCCCATGCTTGAATTAGTAAGACTTCCCTAGGTCCACCCAACTCTGTTGGGTATCTGACTCAAATTAGGGAAAGTAAAAGTGGCTAGGCATAGAGCTGTCCACACTATCATGTCTGAGGTCAAGGAAATAGGTCAATTCTACTTCACCTACTTGGTGGCGGTAACTTTAAAAGGGTACTTTACTTATTTTTTAGTCAGTTATATTGTCAAAATTGTGTTTAAACTTTTTTTTAAAACTAATAACTGGTCGTTTTTTTTTTGCTTTGTTACAATAATATATAACTCAACACAACCAGGTCAATTAATTTAATCTTCACGTGTGTGGCTATATTGATTCGTTAAAGGTTAACTTCAGCACTATAAGGTCTTTGTCTTTAAATCTAAAGGACTTCAGGTAACATGGCCTTTAATTCCAGCTTCAGACAATAGTGAACTTTTTAATAAAAAAAAACTCCTGTAACACACTACATTGGTTAATTGTTTCCATACAGTGGTGCCAAAGATCAAATTGATTCTATGAAAGTGTAACCGACCCATTTAACTTATTGATTGCCACGGTTGACTGAACCCTAACATACATGCGGATTAGGGTGTGTGGGGTTTATATTAATGAATAAAACACCAGGAGTACATTGGTCAGATCAGAAAGTGCTGTTTATTCATCTGTTGTATTCTGGTCTTCCATAATCGACAACACACTCTCAGTGCGAGATGGGGAGGGGGTCGGAATTTTGGACGAAGGGGAGAGGGCTGGGAAAGTGTGACGACACACTTTTTCATTTTAAAATGTAATGTTAGAAACAGAATTTTAGCCATTATTTCGCTTTTTGTCTTTTTTTTATTTGTATGAATGCCTCCTCCTTCTCTCCCATCATCCCCCCCCCCCCATCCTGAGCTCGCAGATGACCTTGGTCCCGAGTCTCGGCCACCTGACCTGTGTATTTAGGACGGTCACGAGAAACTCGGGTGCCAAGTGTATTAGCGCTGATGTTGGTGTCAGCCTGACTTGCCCTCAGCGGTTCAAGGCACCGAGCTTTCATCTTTGCGCCTGTCAGAATATGGGCTTAGACTTCCGGTGGTTATGTTTACTTTTGTAATCGCCGGTCACGTGACGTAAATAAATAGCACTAGGATCGTCCGCGGGAGTGTTGGATTACGCGTGGTTACATAACAAGATCTGACGTCTGCCGTGGTTTTAGTCGGGGGCTCTACTGGTATCTGCTGACATTTGCCTACTTGTCTTGTTTTATGTGTTAGGGGAACCCCCCGGGGGAAAGGGGGGGGGTAGGGGGAATAGGCCTTGACGTGTATGATGCTCAGCAAGGTTATAATACAGTTAGGTCAACGTCCAGTTCAGTTATTGAAGTTTTATCTGGCAAGTACATGTGTTCTTAGCGGACCGACACGGCACACGTGTTCAACTAACGATTCAACCACGTACATAAATGTCGCCATGCATTTTAAGCCGATGTTTTATATTTAACACACACACACACACCAACCCTGGAGCGTTGCTACGGGCTGGGATTCTTCTCCACGTCCAACATCCCCCTCCCTCACTCCCGTGTTAAATTGACATCAGAAACTTTTACTCCTCAAAAAAAAAAAATTGATTTATAAATAATTATCTTTTAAACGGAAAAAAAAGTTACACTTCACACTCCACATCCAACCTCGTCACTTAAGTCAGATCTCCTTACTTATTTGTGTGAGGTCATTTATGAAATACCCCCCCCCCCCCCCGACGGCCATGACACGTGTTTAGCAGAAGACGTAGCCGCTCGTGTTATAATGGGAGCATGGCAAGCTGCCTGTATCGTATGTCAATAAATACAAATAGAAAAAAAATCTTTATTTACTTTCATAATACAATATAACATTACAATATAGTATAATATAAACAGCTTTTATAAGGCGACTTTTTAAACTCCAGGTTGTATTGTCAATTCCGGTACTTAAAAGTAAAACGAAGCGTTTACTCAATCAACGTTTATATATCTCTAGCACGGCGCGTGGTACAAGTGTATAGTACGTGATTTTGGCCTTAGCTTGCTGTAAAATCTCATGTCAACAACCGTTCGATTAGACAAACATTTCAATAGTCTCCCACTTCATGCGTGATAAAGATTTTTGCGTCAATTGACGTTCACACTATAGTGGCCAGATTCGTTTTTCATAATCTAACTAAAGTACATGTCAGCACAAAGTACTATTACAATTGATTCTTCTATTAATTTTATTGTCGTTAAAGAGTCTAAGATATTTTATTTTAAAAACTAGAAGTCACACATAGATCTACATTCTGTTTAAGTTTTTTAGTTTGCAATAAATAGGTGATTCGCCATAAATGACGTCACAACCTAACGAGATTTTTAAAAAATTGTGACGATGTTGGGCAGGGCCTGAAGAAATGTGACATAGCACCAACGTTGTAAATCTTGGGCCTAAGAATAATTAAAAACTATGGCTATTTGAGCTGGTGGGGTAGAATTTTGTGTTGTTTATATAAGGGGGGCGGTCTGGTGTATGGCGTGTGGTGACAGGGGTAGCGGTCTCCCGATGGGTGCCTGACTCACGTTAGGGAAACAAAGGCAGCTGGGCATAGTGCCGACCACTCTTATCTCCTCTCTATGTCGAGGTCATGGAAGAAGATAAACTCTACTCCACTCTGCTCCGTGTGTCATGGGCACCAATGGGATGATGATAGGGACACCATTACATCATTTACAATCTTTTTAGCTCAAGTCGATTAAATTCCAAGATTTATTTCTATATTGTCGAGTAGATTTCCGTTGACTGTAAAAATCAATGGTTGATGATTTCATGATGTTTTAGAAGGTACATTTGTTGTGGCTGCTACCTTAGAGCGTCAGAAACTGATAAACCTATTCAGCCATTCTTCAATTAGATATTGTCTAAGGGCATCAACATTCATGTTTAAATTGTTTGAAAGACCTAACTAATAGAAGAGTCATAAAGATCTGTTATGGTCATTTTTAAATGGTTTATATTTGAACTTTTAAGACAAATTTATGTATGTAAACCTGTGTGCTTGTTTTGCTACACCATTAGTTTTTGCTACTTAACCCTTTCTGAACTGATGGTCAATAGGGCAGATGAAGTAGAGCTCATCTTACCTTGACAACTGCTTATGAAGGGATAGTGTGGTGATAACCTGTGCTCAGCTGCTTATTTTTTTCTCTAACCTGAGTCAGGTACCAATGAAAGCTGGGTGGGATCAGGGACAAAAATAATACAAAGATCAGAACATTTATGTGTATGTGATTGTGTCAATGCTGTATGCATTCTCCCATTCATTGTTGTATATATGTACATGTATATTTTCAGGAGGGAGCCTTTGCCCTTGCAGTGATCAGCAAACATTACCCTGGTGATATTGTAGCTACAAGGTATGGGCTCATTCACTTTTTTCAGCATTACTTTTACATCACTTGGCTAAATGGTTGCCTTTTTACGTTAGTTTACGTCACTATGCTAAATAGTTGCCTTGTTATCTAATGTTTTATAAAGTGTGTAAATGGTATATGATTCAATTGGTCTAAATGACATTTAATCCAGTTAATCTGAATGACATTTGATCCAATTTATCTAAATGACATTCAATCCAGTTTATCTAAATGACATTTGACCCAGTTGATCTAACTGACCAATCCCCTAATTACAGGAGAGGAAGCCCCCTGCTGATTGGTGTAAAGAGTGAGAACAAGCTGAGCACTGACCACATTCCAGTCATGTTTAGCAAAGGTAGGCTGGTCTTTAGTGGCCTGCATGTCTGTGGCTAATGTTCATTACTAGATCATGTTCTGTCTGTAAGTGAAGGAGTAACCTGCCATCATCATTCAAATCAAGACTCGGCAGTTTAAAAAGTGGGACAGGAAAATGGTGCAGATCTTCCGCCAATGTCAAATGGCTGAATGATAAACTGAAGAATAAAATTGGCGAATAAGAATTTTTGGGGGAAATTTTATATAAGCGCTGAGAAATCATAGCATTTTTATTAATATGTATTGGAATTATTAATATAAGATGTGGGAAAGATTAATGGATTGTTTTTATTCTATGAATTTTATTATCGTAAATAACAAATTAACCATATTCCATGGTGCTTATTTATTACCAAATATCAGTTGAATAATATTTAATCACTAATTCATTTAAATTTTATTTAACATTATTTTTTCTTTTGTCATAACTTCGAATAATATTTTAATAATTTTAAACATCTCACATTGTAGTCTCCCTTTATTGCAAGCTCACTCACAATTTAATTAGTCTTTTAATCATCTTGTACTCATACCTTTAATCACCATTGATGTACATACGTTGTTGGCTTGACCTTTACTGTATTGAAATGTGCTCAGGTCAAACAGACTTTAAAGAAGGTAGTTCAAGGACATTTTTTGGCTAAGCTTTTAATTGCTATTAAATAATTTGTCCAAATCCACGACTAATGAATTGTTTCTGCAAGTCTTAATGTTGGTTTGGATACATTTGTATGTTTAGAAATGTTTACAATTAGCTTGATTAATTGAAGTTAGATTTTTGATCAATGCATTTTTGTCTTGGAAAAAAATTGATGGGATTTAGCATAGTACAAATATTAATTACCAGCCAAACTAGGGACAGTGAGACCGAATTATTTGTCTTGACTGTACCTTGAGGAAGCTTGTAAATCATTGGTCCTGGGTTTTGGCTTTAGAGTTAGCTGCCCCTAGCTTTCTTCTTAGAGATAACACATTCATCTGCTTCACCAATATATTTGTATAGTCATTCCATCCATTGATCAACCTAAACTCAATTCAGCAGCATTATTTCTATAGTCATTCCATCCATTGATCAACTTAAACTCAATTCAGCAGCATTATTTGTGTGATCCTTCCATTCATTCATAAGTTCAACCTATTCAGCTGCATTATTTACTGTATGGTCATTTTATCTATTCGTCAAGCTAAACTCAATCCAGCAGCATTATTTGTATAGTCATTCCTTCCATTCATCAAGCTAAACTCAATTAAGCAACATCATTTGTATAGCTTTTACAGAGTTGTTAATTTTGCTCACTGCCTGTTCTCTTTAAAGCATCTGCAAATTTCTCTATTTGATATATTCAATCAATTAGTTTTTTCCAATTTATTCAAGTTTACCCCATGTTAAAAATCCCACAATAACTTTTGGTACAATCGTAAAACATTCCTTCATCACATATAAAAATATTACAAAAATGTCCAATGTGGCAAATATATTAATAAAATTGTCCAATGTGGCAAATACATTACTAAAAATGTCCAATGTGGCAAATACATTACTAAAAATGTCGCAAATACATTACTAAAAATGTCCAATGTGGCAAATACATTACTAAAAATGTCCAATGTGGCAATTGTTGTTTTTCTGTGTAGTGTGGATGTGAGAGATGGTTTATTGCATGCACTACTAAAAAGGTTTTGGGGTCTGGCTGGGGTGAGTGAATGCAGTCTGTAGGGTCAAGTAGCTCATCTTGTGTGGAGGCTGCATGCTTGAGGTTTAGTACACATGACTGTTGCCAGTTGTTTGTTAGATATATAGCCAGGATTTTTTTAAACTCTTAGAACTATTATAAAACCATCACCATCTTAAATTCTCTCGCTAATTTTCGTTCTTTAGTTGTTTTTTTTTTAATATATTTGTTTATTAATAAAAACTAATGATTAAAATCAATTTTTAATTTGGCCTTATTTTTAAAAATATAAAAATGTTGATGTTCAAACTGTTTTATTAATATGCTTTTTAACCTGATAAAATTGTATGTTAAGTTCCATTGATAATTAGAATGTTTTAAAATGTTTTGTTCCACTAAAGTTCTTGATAAACTTTTTCTAGAAGTACTTGACAGACAGTGGTCAATGTCCTCCAAGTTTGTTAACTTGCCTGTCTGCAGTGATTGCCCTGCCACTTTTAATGTCAGCTGTTTTTCTATCTGTATAGACCACAGAGGTTTCCTTGGCAGCAGCCAAGGTCGTCGTGGTGATGAGTTGACCCAGTACCACACCACAGGCCCTGAGAGGGAGGTGGAATATTACTTTGCCTCTGATGCCAGGTAAATGTTTAACTATTTTTTCTCTTAATGTTTTGTTCGCTTCTTGTCAAAAAGCTACATTTATCTTAGGTATATTAGTTTTGCCCTAATAAATAAACCCGTACCTAACCTAACTCTGATCTTAACCTGATGTGTTAGAGTACCTGTATAGAGAAAATACTGGATATATGATTGTGGGTACAAATAACAAATAAGAACTGGTGGAAACAATATCAGTCATGTTATGACATCTGAACAAATTTTTTTGTCATATCTCATGTCATTTTATGTTGTCGCCAATCTTGTAGTTAAAAGCCATATTTTGTTATGTTATTCCTTTAATGTTGTCACCAATCTTAAAGTTAAAAGCCATGTTTTGTTATGTTATTGCTTTTAATGTTGTCGCCAATCTTATAGTTAAACGCCATGTTTTGCTATGTTATTGCTTTTAATGTTGTCTCCAATCTTATAGTTAAAAGCCATGTTTTGTTATGTTATTGCTTTTAATGTTGTCGCCAATCTTATAAGTAAACGCCATGTTTTGCTATGTTATTGCTTTTAATGTTGTCTCCAATCTTGTAGTTAAAAGCCATGTTTTGTTATGTTATTGCTTCTAATGTTGTCACCAATCTTGTAGTTAAACGCCATGTTTTGTAATGTTATTGCTTTTAATGTTGTCACCAATCTTGTAGTTAAACGCCATGTTTTGTAATGTTATTGCTTTTAATGTTGTCGCCAATCTTGTAGTTAAAAGCCATGTTTTGTTATGTTATTGCTTCTAATGTTGTCACCAATCTTGTAGTTAAAAGCCATGTTTTGTTATGTTATTGCTTCTAATGTTGTCGCCAATCTTGTAGTTAAACGCCATGTTTTGTTCTGTTATTGCTTCTAATGTTGTCGCCAATCTTGTAGTTAAAAGCCATATTTTGTTATATTATCACTTTTAATGTTGTCGCCAGTCTTGTAGTTAAAAGCCATATTCTGTTATGTTATTGCTTTTAATGTTGTCACAATCTTAAAGTTGAAAGCCATATTTTGTTGTTATTCTTTTAATGTTGTCGCCAATCTTGTAGTTAAAAGCCATGTTTTGTTATGTTATTGCTTCTAATGTTGTCACCAATCTTGTAGTTAAAAGCCATATTTTGTTATGTTATTGCTTTTAATGTTGTTGCCAATCTTATAGTGAAAAGCCATATTCTGTTATGTTATTGCTTTTAATGTTGTCGCCAATCTTGTAGTTAAACACCATGTTTTGTTATGACAGTGCCATCATAGAACACACAGACCAAGTGATTTTCCTGGAAGAGAACGATGTTGCTGAGGTCCACGAGGGTTCACTGACCATCCACCAAGCCACTCGCAACTTGGATGAGAAAACATTCCGAGAGGTCACCACTTTGAAGATGGCTATTGAGGAAATAATGAAAGGTCAACATTTTTTTCTTTTAGCAGTAATTTCTTGATATAAACACTTGCTTGTTTGCAATCTTAAAGGGTTTTTAATTTTATTTTAGTAAAAGTTTAATTTATCATGATAAAATTTATAATACCAACAAAAGATATATTTTAGTTACACATGAAAAAAAATTGTAACATGAAAAAAAATTGTAACGGTAATTTTTTTTCCAAACAATTAATTGTTACTAAGTATTATATTTTTTGTTCATTCTGATGATGAATGTTTTGTTTCTTGAATATTTGTATTGACTTTTTAAATTCTAGAACTTTAAAATAGCACTGCAGCAAATTTAATACATTCTTTTTACATTGTATTTTGTATACAGTCCAATATATCTTGCATTGCAACAAAGTGTAATCTATTTTGACTAGGGAGCTTCAAGTCATTCATGCAGAAAGAAATCTTTGAACAGCCCGAGTCAGTTGTAAACACCATGAGGGGGCGTGTCAACTTTGAGAAGGGAACCGTTGTGTTGGGTGGCATCAAGGACTACATGTCAGAAATCAGGAGGTGTAGACGTCTGCTCTTCATAGCCTGTGGCACCAGCTATCACAGTGCTGTAGCTGTAAGTTTAGATAGATGGTCTTAATATACCAGCTACCACAGTGCTGTAGCTGTAAGTTTAGATAGATGGTCTTAATATACCAGCTACCACAGTGCTGTAGCTGTAAGTTTAGATAGATGGTCTTAATATACCAGCTACCACAGTGCTGTAGCTGTAAGTTTAGATAGATGGTCTTAATATACCAGCTACCACAGTGCTGTAGCTGTAAGTTTAGATAGATGGTCTTAATATACCAGCTACCACAGTGCTGTAGCTGTAAGTTTAGATAGATGGTCTTAATATACCAGCTACCACAAAGCTGTAGCTGTAAGTTTAGATAGATGGTCTTAATATACCAGCTACCACAGTGCTGTAGCTGTAAGTTTAGATAGATGGTCTTAATATACCAGCTACCACAGTGCTGTAGCTGTAAGAATACAAGTTTAGATAGATGGTCTTAATATACCAGCTACCACAGTGCTGTAGCTGTAAGTTTAGATAGATGGTCTTAATATACCAGCTACCACAAAGCTGTAGCTGTAAGTTTAGATAGATGGTCTTAATATACCAGCTACCACAGTGCTGTAGCTGTAAGTTTAGATAGATGGTCTTAATATACCAGCTACCACAGTGCTGTAGCTGTAAGTTTAGATAGATGGTCTTAATATACCAGCTACCACAGTGCTGTAGCTGTAAGTTTAGATAGATGGTCTTAATATACCAGCTACCACAGTGCTGTAGCTGTAAGTTTAGATAGATGGTCTTAATATACCAGCTACCACAGTGCTGTAGCTGTAAGTTTAGATAGATGGTCTTAATATACCAGCTACCACAGTGCTGTAGCTGTAAGTTTAGATAGATGGTCTTAATATACCAGCTACCACAGTGCTGTAGCTGTAAGTTTAGATAGATGGTCTTAATATACCAGCTACCACAGTGCTGTAGCTGTAAGTTTAGATAGATGGTCTTAATATACCAGCTACCACAGTGCTGTAGCTGTAAGTTTAGATAGATGGTCTTAATATACCAGCTACCACAGTGCTGTAGCTGTAAGAATACAAGTTTAGATAGATGGTCTTAATATACCAGCTACCACAGTGCTGTAGCTGTAAGTTTAGATAGATGGTCTTAATATACCAGCTACCACAGTGCTGTAGCTGTAAGAATACAAGTTTAGATAGATGGTCTTAATATACCAGCTACCACAAAGCTGTAGCTGTAAGTTTAGATAGATGGTCTTAATATACCAGCTACCACAGTGCTGTAGCTGTAAGAATACAAGTTTAGATAGATGGTCTTAATATACCAGCTACCACAGTGCTGTAGCTGTAAGTTTAGATAGATGGTCTTAATATACCAGCTACCACAGTGCTGTAGCTGTAAGTTTAGATAGATGGTCTTAATATACCAGCTACCACAGTGCTGTAGCTGTAAGTTTAGATAGATGGTCTTAATATACCAGCTACCACAAAGCTGTAGCTGTAAGTTTAGATAGATGGTCTTAATATACCAGCTACCACAGTGCTGTAGCTGTAAGTTTAGATAGATGGTCTTAATATACCAGCTACCACAAAGCTGTAGCTGTAAGTTTAGATAGATGGTCTTAATATACCAGCTACCACAGTGCTGTAGCTGTAAGTTTAGATAGATGGTCTTAATATACCAGCTACCACAGTGCTGTAGCTGTAAGTTTAGATAGATGGTCTTAATATACCAGCTACCACAGTGCTGTAGCTGTAAGAATACAAGTTTAGATAGATGGTCTTAATATACCAGCTACCACAGTGCTGTAGCTGTAAGTTTAGATAGATGGTCTTAATATACCAGCTACCACAGTGCTGTAGCTGTAAGAATACAAGTTTAGATAGATGGTCTTAATATACCAGCTACCACAAAGCTGTAGCTGTAAGTTTAGATAGATGGTCTTAATATACCAGCTACCACAGTGCTGTAGCTGTAAGAATACAAGTTTAGATAGATGGTCTTAATATACCAGCTACCACAGTGCTGTAGCTGTAAGTTTAGATAGATGGTCTTAATATACCAGCTACCACAGTGCTGTAGCTGTAAGAATACAAGTTTAGATAGATGGTCTTAATATACCAGCTACCACAGTGCTGTAGCTGTAAGTTTAGATAGATGGTCTTAATATACCAGCTACCACAAAGCTGTAGCTGTAAGTTTAGATAGATGGTCTTAATATACCAGCTACCACAGTGCTGTAGCTGTAAGAATACAAGTTTAGATAGATGGTCTTAATATACCAGCTACCACAGTGCTGTAGCTGTAAGTTTAGATAGATGGTCTTAATATACCAGCTACCACAGTGCTGTAGCTGTAAGTTTAGATAGATGGTCTTAATATACCAGCTACCACAGTGCTGTAGCTGTAAGAATACAAGTTTAGATAGATGGTCTTAATATACCAGCTACCACAGTGCTGTAGCTGTAAGTTTAGATAGATGGTCTTAATATACCAGCTACCACAGTGCTGTAGCTGTAAGTTTAGATAGATGGTCTTAATATACCAGCTACCACAGTGCTGTAGCTGTAAGTTTAGATAGATGGTCTTAATATACCAGCTACCACAGTGCTGTAGCTGTAAGTTTAGATAGATGGTCTTAATATACCAGCTACCACAGTGCTGTAGCTGTAAGAATACAAGTTTAGATAGATGGTCTTAATATACCAGCTACCACAAAGCTGTAGCTGTAAGTTTAGATAGATGGTCTTAATATACCAGCTACCACAGTGCTGTAGCTGTAAGTTTAGATAGATGGTCTTAATATACCAGCTACCACAGTGCTGTAGCTGTAAGAATACAAGTTTAGATAGATGGTCTTAATATACCAGCTACCACAGTGCTGTAGCTGTAAGTTTAGATAGATGGTCTTAATATACCAGCTACCACAGTGCTGTAGCTGTAAGAATACAAGTTTAGATAGATGGTCTTAATATACCAGCTACCACAGTGCTGTAGCTGTAAGTTTAGATAGATGGTCTTAATATACCAGCTACCACAGTGCTGTAGCTGTAAGTTTAGATAGATGGTCTTAATATACCAGCTACCACAGTGCTGTAGCTGTAAGAATACAAGTTTAGATAGATGGTCTTAATATACCAGCTACCACAGTGCTGTAGCTGTAAGTTTAGATAGATGGTCTTAATATACCAGCTACCACAGTGCTGTAGCTGTAAGTTTAGATAGATGGTCTTAATATACCAGCTACCACAAAGCTGTAGCTGTAAGTTTAGATAGATGGTCTTAATATACCAGCTACCACAGTGCTGTAGCTGTAAGTTTAGATAGATGGTCTTAATATACCAGCTACCACAAAGCTGTAGCTGTAAGTTTAGATAGATGGTCTTAATATACCAGCTACCACAGTGCTGTAGCTGTAAGTTTAGATAGATGGTCTTAATATACCAGCTACCACAGTGCTGTAGCTGTAAGTTTAGATAGATGGTCTTAATATACCAGCTACCACAGTGCTGTAGCTGTAAGAATACAAGTTTAGATAGATAACTAGAAGGGTTGGTGAAATCTAGTTAATCAATACTCTGACGATTGTTGTAGTTACCTACCCTTACAGATCTGACTAAAGTAAAGTTGACTTGTTTCTGTCACCTCGGCATATGAGGGGATAGTGTGGTCAGTTCTATGCCCAACCACCTTTACTTTCCCTGACTTGAGTGAGGTACCCATTAGAGTTGGGCAGACTCATGAACTTCATACAGATTCCTGTCAGGAAAACAATCTGGTTACATAGGCTAGCTGGCAAAAGGTTGTAGATGAATGTCTTTGTATAGACATTTGTCTTAAAAAAAACACAGTACACACTGAACTCTTCTTCTCTCAGACTCGCCAGTTGCTGGAAGAACTGACGGAGCTCCCAGTGATGGTGGAGCTGGCCAGTGATTTCCTTGACCGCAGCACACCTGTCTTTAGGGATGATGTGTGTTTCTTCATCAGCCAGTCAGGTCAGTCTTGGTCTCATCATGTTACAAGTTGAGAGTAAAATATGTGTAAAATTTATCTGCTGACGTAAATGTCTTGTTTGTTTTAAAAAATTTCTTTTTCCATGTATTAATATTTTTTATGAAATTTATGTATATAAATATTTTTAAAATGTACATTGGGAACCTAATAAGTGTTTTTCATTTTTTTTTTATTTAAAAAATTACATATATATTTTTATTAAATTTAAAAAATTATGAATTGTAAACATTGGGAGCTTAATAAATAATTTGCATTTAAAAAATATACATCTCTATTCATATAAAATTTAAAATATTTAAAATTTAAAAAATAAGGGTAAAGTGAGTTATTGATTTCTATGCTTGTGCTTGTTAACAGGTGAAACAGCTGACACACTGAATGCTTTACACTACTGCAAGCAGAGGGGGGCCCTGATTGTTGGCATCACAAATGTGGTCGGCTCCAACATCTCCAGGGAGTCCAACTGTGGGGTTCACATCAATGCTGGCCCAGAGATTGGTGTGGCCAGTACTAAGGTACTCTCTCACATAGTGCTGTTTCTTGTAGGCTAGGGATTGGGGTTTTTTTTTTTTTTTTTTTTCCTCTGTAGGTTAGGGATTGGACTTTTTTTTCGTTGTAGGCTAGGGATTCGTAATTTGTTTTTTGTTTTGTAGGTAGGTTAGGAATTGGACATTTTATGCTGTAGGGTGGGGATCATAGTTTTTTAGTGTATTCTTTCGATGGGACTTTTTTTTTGTATGCTTGGGTACAATCTTTTGTTTTATTCTTATCAGGATTTGACATTTTTTGTTGTTGTGTGCTTGTAATTTTATTTTTTAATTGTATGCTTGTGAATGCCTTTTTAAAAAATTGCATGTGTTTGAATGTAAATTTTAAAATTATATGATTGTGATTTCTAAAATTGTATGTAAATATTTGTTGTTTTATGCTTACGGTTGTAAATGATAGTGGTTGTATTTCTGGTATTAATTTAAATGTTTATGTTGCCTGCTTGTTGTTGATGTAACCATGGCAACCTGATATCCCCAGGCCTACACAAGTCAGTTCATTGCCCTGGTGTTGTTTGGTCTGATGATGAGTGAGGACAGAATCTCCTTACAGAACAGGAGGAGGGAGATCATGCAGGGGCTCAAAGAACTGCCAGGTCAGCTGGTCTTTGTTTTTGTTTTTTTACACTTCTTGTTGTCACTGGTCAGAGTTAAAATCTTTAGAGAAACTTGTCAAGTACAATATTTAAAACGAGCCGACCCGCGGCGTATTACATGCCGCTATTTAGTTTTATTTTCTACTTTTCAGTTATTCATAATTTGTGAATTCGACAGTACCAATGCTGTCACTGAAAATATTTGCTTTAAAACACTAAAACCCTCCTTTCCCCCAACCCTCCCCCCGTGAAAGCAGGCTCCTCTTAGTTACCTCCCAAAAGTTTAAAATAGTTTCAAACTAAATTATCTGCCCCTAATAGCAGTCACTAAACCCGGCTCTAGGATTGTAAACATTTAGCGTGAACCACAGCTCACCAGACCATGTGAGGGTGATGGGGATATACCTAGAGAGGAAGAGAGTGGACTGCTGAGCGCGCTTACAGCTTGGTGTTTTCTACCGTCTCCAAGAAGAGAATTATATATATAGATAATTATTTAAATGGTATAATCGAAAAAAAATTTAGCATTGTTGAACCTATGAAAAGAAAAATGCTTACTAAAAATGTATACTAATACATTTTATTATTATTTTTAAACTTAAGTTCCTAATCTTCTTCATTCCAACTTTTTTGACAGAAAAAATCCGAACAGTGCTCACTATGGACACCAAAATTCTAGAACTGGCTAAAGAACTCCATCATGAAAAATCTCTGCTTGTCATGGGCAGGGGATATAACTATGCCACTTGCTTGGAGGGTGCATTGGTGAGTTATCCAGCTTGTGTTGGCCAAATAGCCAAGGCATCCAATCTGTTGTAAAAAGTGCAATTCATTTAATCTAATGTTACAGATAACATGATGATGCCACCTGACTCAGATAGTCTTAATGCAGGTGCAGGCAGGATGTTGGGGGGTGGTATCAAATTAATTTAGCTATTAATAGGCCATTTATTCCATCAGTTCAAGGGCTCATGGGGGCGGTGGTATCAAATTTTTTTGCTAAATATAGGCCATTTATCTAGTCACTTTTAGGGGACATGGGGGTGGAGATATCAAATATTTTTTGGCTATATTTAGGCACTTTATTCCATCAGTTTAAGGACTCATGGGGGTGGGGGTGTCTAACATTTCCCCTACCTGCCTACCCCACTGGCCTTGTGAACACAAAATGGAAGTATCTACTTGCCTCAATTTCAATTTCAGTGGAGAATATTTGTTGTATGTTGTAACTATGTATTGTTTTAACCTCAGAAAATTAAAGAGTTGACCTACATGCACTCAGAAGGGATCATGGCCGGAGAGTTGAAACATGGCCCCCTGGCCCTGGTTGATGCGGCCATGCCTGTGTTGATGGTGTGCACAAGAGATAATGTCTTCTCTGTAAGTTGTCCACTTGTCTGTTACATTGTCACCCTCATCTGGTTCAGTTTATTATGATTGCATTGGTCACAAATTTTATATTCAATCCAAAATGGTAAAAATATAATTTTGTACACAATCACTATAGACATGTTGCTAATTTTAAGGAAATCTGATTTTTTTTTTTTCCATTGATGATAATTGTTGCACTAAAAATTTTGATTATGGAATTATTTAAAAACTCGCATTCTAAATTATATTTTCCCCAAAATTTAATTTAAAATTAATTACACCCAACTGGAAAAGCCATAAAAAAAACTTTAATTTATTTTGAGAATATTGTTAGGCATCCTATTCTCAAAAAATGGTGTTTTTAGTTTAATAAAATCCTAATTTGTCTCCCACAGAAATGTGAAAATGCATTACAGCAAGTGAAAGCTAGACATGTAAGTAAAGTAACCTGATGTTTCAAGGAAAATAGTTTTATTTTACTTCATCATTTTAGTTATATTTCATAATCATTTTACCACACTGTAAGAGAAATGAAAGTTGTGCTCAAAATATTTCTTCTAAAGTGAATATTTTAGCTGAGTTGTTGATATTCACAAATGTAATGTATTGTGGGTGTGGATAATTGAACAGATTACAACGATTCCTTTCCTCAGGGCATCCCAATCATCATCTGCAACACTGGGGACGGGGATTATCTGACCGGGGACAACAACAACAAGTCCATCTGCAACGGTCAGCCAGTCATCCCCCTCAATGGTGTCCACGAGAACGGTGACCATGCTGACTGCAAGCCAGTGAAGAAATCTTTGGCTCTGGAGGTCCCTCAAACAATCGACTGTCTCCAGGGAATTCTGACTGTCATTCCTATGCAACTGCTGTCTATGCACATTGCTGAGTTGAAGAACCTTGATGTAAGGCTTAGTTACATTACTTTTTTTTTTTAATATGTATTATCAAAATTACGTATGAAATACAGAACTATTTTGTTTCAAACTGAAATTTTATGTGCTAATACATAAAAGTACATTTTTGAAACTTGGGGCAAGTGAAGTAGAGTAACCTGTATCAGTGGCTTCGGGACATGAACGGATAGTGTAGTCAACACTATTCCCAGCCGCCTTCACTTTTCCTAACGTGGTTCAGCTACCCATCAGAGCTTGGTGGACTCAGGGACATTATATGGATTTGAACCCAGAATTTGACCTTTAGACCTTTTAGTTACCTTCTGACAACCAGTGGCTAGAGATGATGGACTAGAATAGTTTTGTCCAAAGTTTTTTTAAAATACGTTTTACTGCTGTTACATAGACATTTTTTTTAGTTCTGGCTATGTGTGTACTTTGGACTGCTGAAAAGTGGAGCATTAAAAAAATTGATTTGGAAATCAACAAATTTGCATTCCATTCTAAATTGTTTTCCATTTCAAAAATTCATATTTTAGTTTCCTAACTCTTCCATGACAGTTAAATAGATCAGGTAACTACACAAGAAGGCACGGATGCCGTATGGTCTAATGTTTGATTGCACACTAATTAACCTGAAAGAAATGAGTTTGGTACCCAGCTTTAGTTTGTTAGTTAGCTCCTAGTTGAGCTTGACACCCCCCCCCCCCCCCCCTCCACAGAGAAGGAAAGAAAAGCCTGGTAGAAAACAAGCCAAAGCATTTGGTTTGATAATGACAATGTACCAGAAAAATGTACATCCTTAGTTAACCAGGCCGGCTATGCAAACACACAGAAAATAAATTATGTATGAAGTATCTCTGATTGTCAAAGACAACATGAAATGTTTAACAGCTACATTTTGACCACAGGTTGACTGCCCAAGAAATCTGGCCAAGTCTGTAACAGTGGAATGAGATGTTTTATTTGTTTCATTTGTATTGTAAGTTGATTTTTTTATTTACTTTACATATCATTACCCTTCTGCCTGAAGCTGATACCATAGTTACATAAGGGGTAACTGTTTTTTTTTAAATAAGCTTCTAACAACATCACAAGGTGGGTGGTGTAGTCCACACCATGACACCCGTAGTTACTGCACCAAGTGACTCCCTAATATGACCACTGTGTCAACAAGGACCTTCACCATATCACATCATACTTACCTTACATATTCCTTCACCCCTATATTCCAACACTAAACCTTTCTTTTCCTACTTATCATTTGATTTATTTGAGTTTATTCTTTCCCATAGATAAATGTTTGGACAACAAAAAAATGGACAAAATTGACCTACGTGGGGCTTTACACCAAGAAAAACCTGGATAGTTTTTTTCTAATTATTTCATAATTGTATATAAATGCAGTTGTGAGATGATTCAAACATGACTACACTGATGTTATTTTATCATCATTATATTTTATAAAACGATGAAATGGTTGCATTTTATGAGATTTTACACATTGGAATCAATTCAATGTTTTATTTTTATTTTTGAAAACTAATTGTATATACTTACTTTATACTATGTATACTTTTAGGGCATGTGATTATAACTACCTAAAAATTGCAACAACAAAAATGAATTTTTATGACAAATTATTGAAATGTTTAGATTTTAAATTGCTTTCTCTCAGATATTTGCACTAAAAATGTGTAAACAAAAATATAGCTACAGTACTATTGTTCAGCTACAGAAAAGTATTTTTTTCCCTAAGTTTACATTCCCTACTGCATTATTGGTGGATTTTTAAGGATAGAACATCGTAATTCATATCATTTTCAAAAAGAAATGGCATATTGGGCTCCCACACTCCATAACACCAGCGAGAGCTTATTGCCAGTGCCTTTGCTCAAGCAATTCTTCATCGTCTTGTTGGTTGTACAAGGTACAAATCACTGGGCTAATGAAATTTTTTTACAATTTTTTAAAATTAGTAGATTAGAGCAAGTATATGACAAATCTTTGCGTACAAAAACCTGTGGGGAAAGTGTGTACAAATGATTGCAAGATATAGTGTACAAAAGCCCATGGGATATTGTGTACCTAGGCTTGCTGTGTTCAGTGGGGTAGTGTAAACACAAGAGAAATCTGATGTTTATTTTGTTAGAATCCCAGAGATTCCTGTGATATTTATTTGCTCTGAGAGGGACCATGGATTTCTTTTGTACATGTGTGTATAGCTCATATTCTTTCTGTTGGTTTTCAAAACAATCAACACATACTGCTTTGGTTTTTTAAGTTTTTGGTTGTGTTCCTGTTTTCACACTTAAAATGAACAACACACGAACAAGAGGATGATGATACATATCCGAATATGTAAATGTAGATCTATAAATGTGTTGTTACATTTAGGGATTTTACATCAACAGAAACAGATCTGGTTTTATTTTTCTGTAGTAAAATCTGTATGCATTTTTTATTTTTATTTTTACACATAACAAATTTGCCTGTGCAAAAGCATATGGGCGTAAAACATGTTTAGTTTAAATTTGAAACCCTAAAATATTTTAATTTTTTAAACTTATTAACATAATTATATCAGAATGCTTATGCAATATGATCAATTAAAATACTAAATTTATCGCTGTCTATTATAAAGAAATTTTTTTGGCGCCTAATTGATATTTTGTTTTATAAAATAAAAGTAGGTCTGCTTGGATACATTATTTACAAGCTAGCTATTATTATTTAAGTAATTTTAGTTTCTTTTTTTTTTTATTCCATTCACAAATTGTTCTATAAACTATGTGTAAGTAATGTACTTATCTGCTGAGCACTCATGTCTATAATGTGCCTTTATTGGTAAAAAAATGAATATGCTCAGTATTTATTTATATTCATCAGCAAGCAACATGCTAGTTCTGTGTTGCCCCTGGAGAAGGGTTACCTCCCCTCTAGAACCAGGTTATTCAAGCTTTTTATTTCATAGATGGCCTACTTATTTAGTTACAGTTACAAGAAATTAGTGGGGTGCCATACTTTTATTTATTTATTTTAAAAAGTAAATATTTACCTGAACCGTTACCTTTCCAAAGCTTGCGAGTTTTAAAACATTAGAATCCACCTACAGGTAGTAATATTTTTAAAAGGTTTTTATACATGTGCTATTGAAATATTTTGTAGCTGCTGATCAAACTGATCACAGGACTGTTGCATGTTGATAAATTGGGGAACTACTGCTTATTGGGAATGGATTATTTACCTTATTTAATAAATAAAGTTTTACAAAATACAATCTGCTTATCTTTTTTTTTAAATGTCTGTGTGATTCATTACTTAAGAATAACCTGTCACAGTCTGTATATTTCTGTTGCATCTCTGCTTAGAGAAAATATAACTTACATATATTCTATCCAATTACTTTGAAGTTTAACGTGATTTATCAACTCTGATTCTGTCAACTGTTAAATCAGCTGCTTATTAGCAGAAAACTTAAATTCACACAGCATGTTGCTCTTTATTAATTAAAACTATAAAAAATACTAAACTTAACACCCAATACATTAGCAACAGAATCCTTAGCAGTTTAGTGAGACATTCAACTAATATAACAAAGTAAGCCCCTACATGGGCGACATAACCGTGATCACTAGGGAGAGGGATTCGTAAAGCCCATTCTTAACATTTTATTGTCAGGGGATAGCGCGAACGCAGTCCCCCCTACGAAAAAAATTACGCACCCGAGTCACCCACATTTGGGGTGATCGCAGGGGTCAACCCACACGAAGTGCAATGTGCAGGCCTCGCCCTGGGAGGACCTCCTTGCTGATCAAGGTGCCTCCTGTGCCAGGTAAGTATGATTTGTTTCGTTAGCAGATTCAATCCGTCCAACGGCAATTTTAATATTTTTATAGGGCTCTATTCATAGATATTATTCTTTTTTAAATTAATTAGATAAAAATATACTTTTTTAAAAATAAATAATATCTAATAAATGTTTTTTAAAAATTAACAACAATTTACAATTTTATTAAAGTATATTTTTTCCTATCATATAATTAAAATAGTTTAAAATGAAATAACAGCATAAGTTACTTCCCTTCGTTAAATGTTTTAATCTTTACTAGCCTCCCTTTCGAAAAAAAAGCCGACCATTATACACGTTGAATAATTATATACTAAGATATACTATACTAAATTACTCTTTAGTAATAATTGTATTCGCTACTGATTTGATCCATTCTAAAGCTACTTTCTCTTTCAACTTTCAAGATGTTCTTTTTTTGTGATAAGGCAACATTATATTATTTTTAATCTAATTAGATGTCGAATTCACAATTAAAAATTAATTAGTTTTAATTGTTTTCTTTAAAGCATGCGTCTTTTCGGTGCCCCCCCCCCCCGGAAAAAAGAAGAATTAATTTACAAATATATCTTTCGACTAAAGAAAGTTTCAAGTACCCCCCCCCCCCCCCCCCCCACTCCGCTGCCCGGAGAAAAATGTATTAAACTAACGCTGGTTTCAATAACAAACCTGGAATAACAAAGTATCACGACAAGTCAGGTAATATGGTGTTAATTGGGGGCAGAGTTTCTTCCAGGCATCTCTTCGGCCCCCCCCAAAAAATTTTACCGCCCCCCCCCCCCCCCCCCCCGAAGAAAAAAGTCTGGAAGAAACACTGATTGGGGGAGGGGGAAACCAGTTTCTTCCAGGCATCTCTTCGGGGAGGCGAAGCCCCCCCCCCCCCCCGAAATTTTTTTACCGCCCCCCCCCCCCCCGAACGAAATGAAATTTATATAATTTATATAGAAAATATATACTTTTAACAGTGTCCGCCCCCCCCCCCCCCCAAGAAAGTTTACCGCCCCCCGAAGATTTCAAGTGCCCCCCCCCCCCCCCCCCTGGAGAAAAAAGTCTGGAAGAAACACTGGGGGAACCTTCACGTAGGTTAGTTAATAATTAATATTTTAGAAAAAAACATACGTTTTAAGAAACAGAAGTTTTTTTTCTTGTCTTCTCTGACAAAGGGTAGCGTCAAATGTAATTGCAACTAGAACACCGCCAATTATATTCATTTTAAAGATTTGTATGATTTTATTTTACTAAATTTTAGATCTAATTAAACAGTCACTTAAATTAAATAGATTTTAATTTTGGGGGCCAACTAGTTCGTTTCAACAATCCATTGATGTGTAACTTAAAATTTTTAGAATAGTAGTACGGCCTAGATCTAATGGAATCTATAAAGATCGACTTGATTGCTAACTAAGTAGCATGAAACAATTAATAAAATTTTATTATAATTAGATATAATTTAATAATTACAACGCTTCTCGGCGTGGTACCTCTTTTGTGGTTAATTCCAACGCCAACTGGGTAGGCTAAACCTAAAATGTAATATACTAATGCTATAACTTCTAGATCTAGATCTGTATTGTCTGAAAAACATACAGGGTATTTCTTAAGTCTACTGAATTGTTTGTAATTATACTATACGAGAAAAATGGCCCGTTGAGGAAGGATACACCGGGCGCTAGGTTGATAGTGCTGTCTCTTTTCTCTAAACTAAAACCAACCCACCCCCTACCCCCACCCCCCCCCACCCCCCAAGAAAACATGTCTACCGTCCCATTCAACGAAATATAATTATATACTTTTTCCAGTGTCCGCCCCCTCCCCGAAAATTCTACCCCAGCCCCCGAAAATTTCAAGTACCCCCACCCCTCTCCGGGGAGGAAAAAGTCTAAACTAAAACCACCCCACCCCCCACACACACCCCCCCACCCACACCACCCCCACCCACCCCCCACACACACACCACCACCCCCCCCACACACACACACCACCCCACCCCCCCTAAAAAAAAACATGTCTACCGTCCCATTCAACGAAATATATAATTATATACTTTTTCCAGTGTCCGCCCCCTCCCCGAAAATTCTACCCCCGCCCCCGAAAATTTCAAGTACCCCCACCCCTCTCCGGGGAGGAAAAAGTCTAAACTAAAACCACCCCACCCCCCCCCCCCCCCCCCACACACCCGTGACGGTGTGTGATGAGTGGGGGGGGGGGGGTTGAGATGGTGCGACGTCACACTTTTGCATTATAAAAAAGCATTTTAGACATTATTTCGCGTTTTAGAAAACTGTTCTAATAAATTGTAATATGAATTGATTAAAATATTCCATTTTGACAGAGTTCAGACAAGATTTTACGAAAAATATCGATGTTTTAAATAAAGTTCAACTGCAATTTTGAGGGGGGAGGGGGTGTTGGCTGAGGTGTGACGTCATTTTAGGGGGGAGGTCTGGCTTTTTGTGACGATGTGTGACGGAGGGGAGGGGGAGAGGTAAAAATCGTCAAAAAAGCGTGACGTCATTTATGGATGATCCCCTTATAGGATGATGTTGACCATTTAAAAGGAATGTATATTATATTTTATATTAAATACTGTTACAGAGTATACATATCTGACTACCAAAACACGGTGGCCGGAAAGAACCGCAACGGAAAAAAGGGCAACGGAAAAAAGCGCAAATCAAAAAGCGCAACGGAAATAAGCGCACACGGAAAAAAGCGCAAAGAGAAAAAAGCGCACACAGAAAAAAGCGCAAAGAGAAAAAAGCGCAAACGGAAAAAAGCGCAAAGAGAAAAAAGCGCACACAGAAAAAAGCGCAAACGGAAAAAAGCGCAAACGGAAAAAAGCGCAAAGAGAAAAAAGCGCACACGGAAAAAAGCGCAAAGAGAAAAAAGCGCAAACAGAAAAAAGCGCAAACGGAAAAAAGCGCAAAGAGAAAAAAGCGCAAACGGAAAAAAGCGCAAACAGAAAAAAGCGCACACGGAAAAAAGCGCAAACGGAAAAAAGCGCAAACGGAAAAAAGCGCAAACAAAAAAAAGCGCACACAGAAAAAAGCGCAAACAGAAAAAAGCGCAAACGGAAAAAAGCGCAAACAGAAAAAAGCGCACACAGAAAAAAGCGCAAACGGAAAAAAGCGCAAACAGAAACAGAAAAATGCGCAACCAGAAAAAACACAACGAAAAATGTGCAAAAGAGAAATTTAGCACAAAGACCATATGGACTAGATGACACATTTATACATGACTGTTAGGGCTGCTGTGAGAGTGTCGTGTTTGATCACGTGATCTACTACCATTTAAAGCGTACCACCACCATCTGCATTCCCATCACCACGATACAGGCGATAATCACTTTACACAATGCCTATTATTTTCTTGGTCAATAATTATTCAACTACTATTCTCGTATAAACATAAAACTATCGACATTACACGAAGTATCTTTCACATTCTCCCTAGTCCGAACTACCTAGCTTGCATACTATAACAACCCGTTCCTATGGCAAAACTTCACTCTCTTTCATCCGCGTCATCAAACATGCATTCGTCATATCTCTCGTAACAACATTCATTCGCACCAAAATAACAATTTTGTATTTAATATTTTTTCACATCATGACGCACCTACCTACCTACCTACTACCCACCTACCCACCTACCTACCTACCTACCTAACTACCCACCTACCCACTTACCCACCTACCCACCTACCCGCCTACATACTTACCAAACTACCCACCAAAAAAGTATCGGCGAAGTTCGTAAGTTTCGTAAACTTTTCGTATATATATATATATATATATATATATATATATATATATATATATATATATATATATATATATATATATATATACCGAGGGGTCTATGGGGGGGGGTTATGACCCCCCATAAACCCCCCCTGCCTACGCCACTGCATATAAGTATTCGCATAGATTTAGAGTAGCGTCCCTTTTGTTTACATGTTTTTATTACCCTTCAAACAAAAGTCTATTTTAGTTATATTGAGATTAAAGAATGTAAATAAATAGTATACACAATTCTGTAGAATAGGAACGATTGGGAGGGAAGTGACATTTAGCGCAGTAAATTTAGAGGTTAGGTAGGGTATAATAAATGGTGGGGTTAGGAAAGTTAAGGGGTCCATTCTCTAATAGGCAATCTATGTCTCTTTCGTACTTTCGTGTTGGTTTATTGTCGAACCTGTCCTCACCTCACATCACAACAGTTGGGTGACGCTTACCGTGTAATGTTAAAATAAATAGCATGTAATTGAGTTAGTTCGAAGTGAGTTTTCATACAAGCCCAACGCACTAATTAAGGTTGTCGCAAAATGTAACATATATGTAACGTATGTCAATGATGTCAATGAATTTTCATTAAAAAAAAGATGTCTAGTACAGTTTACGAAACTTACGAACTTCGCCGATACTTTT